TCCCAAAATATCCCAAAAACATCCACCACGTCCAGCTCCCCGATCCCGCCCAGCCCGGCTGCCAACGCTGTGAGTGACCCCCAAAATATCCAAAAATTATCCAAAAATATCCCAAAATATCCCTAAAATATCCCAGAAACATCCACCACGTCCAGCTCCCCGATCCCGCCCAGCCCGGCTGCCAACGCTGTGAGTGACCCCCAAAATATCCCAAAATATCCAAAAAATATCCCAAAATATCCCAAAAATATCCCAAAAATATCCCAAAATTATCCCAAAATATCCCAAAATATCCCAAAATATCCCAAAAACATCCCCCACCTCCAGCTCCCTGATTCCGCCCAGCCCGGCTGCAAATGCTGTGACACCCAAAATGTCCCAAAATATCCAAAAATAACCCAAAAATATCCCAAAAATACCCAAAAATATCCCAAAAATACCCCAAAATATCCCAAAAATACCCCAAAATTATCCCAAAAATATCCAGAAATACCCCAAAAACATCCCCCGCCTCCAGCACAAAATGACCCAAAAACCACCAAAAAAGGCCCAAAAAGACCATTAAAAAAAGCTCAAAAAAACCCAAAGATCATCAAAAAAACACCAAAAATCACCAAAAAAACACCAAAAAAAGCCCCAAAAGAGCCACCAAAAAAAGCCCTAAAAAAGCTCAAAAACCACCAAAAATCCCCCAAAAAAGTCCAAAATAACCCCCCCAAAAATAACTAAAAAAACTCCAACATGCTCAAAAAAATCCCCCCAAATCAACAAAAAAAGCCCAAGAAAACCCCCCAAAAAAACCCCCAAAAAACCCCAATAAATCCCCAAAAACCACAGAAAAATCTCAAAAAAAAACCTTCAAAAAATCCCAAAAGGTACCAAAAGTAGCCCCACAAAAACCCAAAAACCCGCCAAAAATACCCCAAAAAAAACCCAAAAATCACCAAAACCCAAAAAAAGCTCAAAAAAACCCTAAAACCCACCAAAACAGCCCAAAGAAAAGACCCAGAAACCACTAAAAAAAGCCCAAAAAACGACCACAAAACTCCCAAAATCACTAAAAACGCCAAAAAAAGCTCAAAAAAAACCTAAAAAAACAAACAAAAAAACCCCCAAAACCCGGAATAAAAGCCGCAAAACCCCCCCCAAAAAAACCCAAAAAAAGCTCATAAAAACCCTAAAAAAACACCAAAAAAACCCCAAAAATCACCAAAAAAAACCAAAAACCACTAAAAAAAGCCCAACCCCCCAAAAAGGAATTCAAGAATCACCAAAAAACCCCAAAAAAAGCTCATAAAAACCCTAAAAAAACACCAAAAAAAACCCCAAAAATCACCAAAAAAACCCCAAAAAAAGC